ACGTCCCGTGGAGAGCAAGACTCAGTGTGGAGGTGCGAAGGGTGTGTGTGTGGGGGGGGGGGGGGTACAGATATTCCCTGTATGCCCTGCAGGGCGGCAGCAGAAAATCCCTGTTGACATTGGCTGAAAGTCAGGTTTGACCAGGACAGAACTGACAGCTGACACACACGCACACACACACACACACACACACACACACACAGAGCAAGATGAGCAACTGGGTTTGGGGGGGGGGGACATCACCATCATCATGATCCTCCTCCTCCTCCTCCTCCTCCTCCTCCTCTCTCTCCTGTGATTCTGACCTCCTCTCTCTCCTGCTCCTCCTCAGGTGGAGACCCTGAAGACCCCGTACCTGTGAAGAGCCAGTCCAGCTCCTGGGAAACCCACCAGCATTCTTTTCCCTTTGTTTTCCAGACGAACCAGACAGGGAGCGTATCTCCTGAAGGTTGACCTCCTCCTCCGCTCCTCCGCTCCTCCGCTCCTCTCTGGTCCAATCAGAGGAGCCTCCTCACTCGTCTACCTCCGAGACAAACAGACTAACAAAACAAAAAACAAACACAGCAATCTTTTTTTTTTACTCTCAGTTCCCGGTCAGTTTTCTCCACGTACCTCAGGGAACTCCGCCCACTGTCTACCTCCACCACCGAAACAGCCAATCAGTGACCTGGAACTGGAACACACCTGTGACCTTTCACTGCAGTTACCGGGACAACCTCCACTGCCTGTCCAGCTCTACTCACTGCTACCTTGACGACCAGCAATGACCTTTGACCTCAGACTCAGACTCAGTGCAGTGGTGGCCTGAACTGTGACTGAAGAAGGCCTCACTCTGCTGCACAACTGATACCTCAACGACACGACCTCGTCCACCGTCCTGCTGCTCAGACCGACACAGGGGGACGTCCTCGTCCACCGTCCTGCTGCTCAGACCGACACAGGGGGACGGGTACGAAACTCAGCCAGCTTCTTCCATTTGCCTTTGGGCCAGAAACAAAGGCACCTGTAGCCTGGACAGTAGCAAAGAGGCCTTCAGTGACCTGACCCCAGGGAG